CAAACGTGTTTTATATTGTGGGCTGGAGCAGTTAAACTCTCCTTTCTTTAACTACACACTTAATCCCTGAGATATAGTAACATAGTGTTATGTGTTAATATATATATATATATATGTAATGTAAAATATCTACTTCAGGTTTTTCTATGAGATAAAGAAATGCTGCTGCATTAATTACAGACATCTGTCAGCATGACTCTTTTGGGTGTAAATTGTAAGAAATAAATGTGTAAAATTACAGAGTTCTGGCATCTCATTGCCCAGACTGTCCTGTAAGTATATATATTTTTTATTTTACTGAGGGCCCACTATTAAACAAAAAAGAAATTTCTTGAGTAGTTTCTGGAAAAAACAGGAACTTTGCTGTCACTGAATTGTTTTACTTAATTACTTTGGTGTAGTATGAATGGCCATGGTGGAGGTCTTTATCATTAGGCAAAACTATACAACTTACAGTTAAAAGTCTAGGATTATTCCTTCCTTCACATTTTCTAAAGCCATTCAATTGGCCGGATTGGAGTATTTAACTGGCCGATTCCGGCACCTGGGCCTTATTTTTGACACTCCTACTATAGATGGTGTAAGAGACCGATGTAGCTACTCAGCTGTTTATGAAGTCCTGAAACCGCACGTGATGAGCAAGGAGTGGTTCTGACTTTAAAACCAAGAAGGAAGCCCACTTGTTGGGTAATGACATTTAATTGACGAGTCTTTAGCCAATGAGCATTCTTAGACAACCTCCTGACTCTAAGCCTAATCATTTCAATATGTCCTAAAAATACAGAGCAAGGTTTTTTGCAACCAGATGAGTCGCCTCCTGCTGGCCATTAAAAGGAATGCACAAATCAGCAGATGTAAGACCAGTGTGATAAGGGTGGGGATAAATCATGTCCAGGAACACTAATTAATAGATCACAATTTCACACAAGGCTGTGAGACTGTGTTGGTTTACGTGAAGCAGCCAATCAGAAGAGAGGACAGGGAGCTACAATAGTTTCCTTCAGGGGATGAACTTGGCTACTCCAAGGTCCAGTTTTTCTTTCTTTCTTTCTTCTTTCTTTAATCTCTGACATGTCCTGTCAGTGAATTTGTCAGAAGGAAAGAATTAGGAATACTGCTGACTGCAGGGTTTAAGACGCTAAAACTCGCAGCGTTCTGTGCAGATTACATTTCAAGCATTTATCCTCCATCTCAGCCCAACACCGGCACATTTTCCAACTTTTGCATGATCGCTGAACAGCAGAAGGATTTTTCATTTACAAAACATGCCTAAGAAAATACCAATCACTGCTGGAGTTACACTAAAACTAAACACAGACCTTTGTTTGCACTTTTGCATATCTGACTCGGTCACCTTGTTACAAGTGCACGCGCCCACAATCACAGACTTCAAACTGAGCAGGACTTGTGACAAAGCAATGTGCTACTTTTAGATACATTTTGCACCATGTGCAGAATTACACAACTATCTCTGGAGAATCTGGATAAAGGGAAGATAAATGTATACATGAATCTTTATACATAAGCAGCAACTGTCACGTGTTATGTTAAAAAATGTGTTTTATCAGTTTATCCAGTGCTCCAAAATTTAACACTTACTGTCCAACAACACAGCCTTCCTCCTCGATGACCTTGCCAGACTTGTGCCTGACAGTAGACACATTTTGTGTGCCAAAGAAGACTGCAGAGGAGTATACTGCAATCCCAGATATCCCCGCCTTGAGGACTTCATATCCCGGGCTCGATGAAGTTGAAGGTGGAGAAGAGGAAATCTGGACGCTGTGAATTCCCTCAAAAGCATCCATAATATTTCTCAGGCTGTGCAGAGATTCATCAAATGCTGTTGGATAGCTCCTGGGATGATTTAGTTTGTGGAAGGATGACTCTGACGTGTGTGGGTATTAAGCACCTAAGATGCAGAAAACACAGAGTTACATACTACAACTTAAAATCAGTGCAACTAACTTCAAGATCTTTTCCCCTTTCTGAATACCACATTTTTCTTTTCTTTGCAGGCTGATTGTGCTGAGTCTGTTAAACTGCACTTGTGAGATGAATTAAGGAGAAAAAGTTGGAGAGGATATACTCACCAGAAATAAGTAAAACTGATTCAAAGACGTTGCCAGTGCAGAAGAAAATCTGCCAAAAGCAGCAGAAACCAAACGCCCTGCACTTCACCCTGCTGTTGGTCCTCCTGGTTATTACAGGAAGGGTTAATCACTAACACACTCTGACCAGTAGCGATTCAGCTGTATGCATTTTTTCCAGCAGAGGGGGGTCACACACGTTCTCACCTGACCAGGAGTTTGCCATGATGAAATCCTGCTACAAATGGGGAAAAAAACAGCAAAGGTGACCTGATATTGAAACACTAGAACACTAGCTCAGAGGTGTGTACCTAATGCACACCTCTGAGATGTAGAAAAAGTGTTAAATTACAAAAAGTCGAAGTGGGCTGAGATTTGGTTCACAGAGTCATATTTCTAATCTAAACCCACACACTCAGCATTTATCCTCGTAACCAGCCTATTTGTGGCAGTGTGGGTTCTCTGCTGCCCTCAGATTTGCTCAGATTAACAGGAGCTGGCCTCACAATGCAGCTTTGTTGGAGAAACAGATTAACACATCAAGTGACCGGAGGTGTAGGAGGCCCTCGCTCGCTTTTTCTTTCCTGCTCTGCTTTCTCCAACATTATCCCTGGACGCTGCCACCGCACATCTTAAACCGCAGAGAGCATGATGGCCATTTTTGTTTTCTTTAAGTAAGTCTGCGCATATCACCTCTCTCACAACCTTGAAATCCGAATCACATCACATTTCAAGGTGTCTTTTACCAATCAGATTAAATGAGGACCACAAATCAACCCATCTGAGCTGCTTGGTTTAACTCTCTGTCCTTTCAGATCTGTCACCACACTGGTCTTAAGGGGCTGATCGCCGAACCTGAGCTCAGACGAAGCACGGAGGACAACACCACGCTGGTTTCCTTCATGTCAGGCCACAGTCAGCCAGCACGTTGGCCAACAAGCAGCAGCAGCGATGACAGTAACGTACTCCCGCCGAGTTGCTGATGCGGGTTTGGGGACCTTTTTTCACCTTCTCCTGCGATGGAAGGGCAGCATCTACAAACTGCTCTACAGGGAGCTTATCATCTTCACTCTGCTCTACTACTTCTTCAGTGTTGTTTACAGGTAGGAAACTCACATTACAGCAGCATGAGTTTTGCTCTCATAATGACATTTTTCTGTTTTTAAAAGAGAGTTAACTGTTTTGGTCCCAAAACTGGGAATTATGAGTCATCTTTTAGGCCTCAGTTGGATTAGGAACATAATTAACTTTAAATGTAATTTTACTTTAAAGCTTCAACAGTATTGGTAATAAGTAAAATCAGTTTCTGTAATGGTTTATGGCTCTTTAAACAAAGTGATATTTGTATTGCTAAAATATGATTGAATATGATGAATATGAAAAATATTGTAAAGCACATTATTATTATTAACTTACATTCCTGAACAAAGAGTTTAGATTTAGTGGTCAGATATTATGCTTGACTTCTCAGAAAGATCCAGTGTGCCAGCTCAAATTTGCATATAAAACCATGAATCATATATTGCCCCAGTAAACACAGTTTTTAGTTTTAAAGAAGTTTTTGACATGTTTTTTGTGTGTGTCTTCTTGTTTTTATCACAGATGGTGTAATAAATGTGTTCATCACTGTACGTGCTTTCCTCTCCTTTTTATTGTGCCATTCAGTGTTATCTACAAAAATGAAAATTCACAAACATCTCAAAAGTTTATTCTTATTATGAGTAGATGGTTGCGTGTCTGTTTATGAGTAGCACCCTGCTACATAACGGCATCTGTGACCCCTTTTACAGCTCTTAAAATAGCTTTCAGTGTTCTGCGAGATGTATTTCACAAGGCGGGTATTAACAAAAGTAACAACCTTTCTGACTTTGGCAAGTAAAAGAGTCACTTTGCTGTTTTAACAGAGGTCAGTGCTTTTGATATTTCCCTCACCAGGTTTGTGTTAAACGATGATCAGAAGAGGCTGTTTGAAAAGTTGTCGATATACTGCGACCGCTACGCAGAGCTCATCCCTGTGTCATTTGTGTTGGGTGAGTTGTGGCTCACTAACCCTAACCCTTTTAAGTCAGGAGGGCATCACTGAAAGTTTCACTTCGTTAATCTTAACCAGGTTTCTATGTGACTTTGGTCGTGTCCCGTTGGTGGGGACAGTTTGAGAATGTACCCTGGCCAGACCGTTTGGCAGCATTAGTCGGAGGTCACGTTCGAGGAGCTGACGAAACCTCCCGGCTGACCCGCAGGACACTTATGAGGTACGCCAACCTCTCCGGTGTGCTCATCTACCGCTCCGTCAGCACAGCAGTCTACAAGAGGTTTCCAACCATGGAGCATTTGGTGCAGGCAGGTGCGTCGTTTGCTGTTATTAGTCTTGCCTCTTTAAAACATAGCATGCTGTGCAGAAGCTGCACAGCATTCAGACCCAATGTCTTCTTCTCATGTGGCTGAACTGATGAGAAGATTATGAGGCAAGCTCTGGCTGTTCACCAGGACTATGCGTGCAGGAACACGCACCTTTTGGCTGCTTTCATCTACACGTTGTGTTTTTCCATCTCAGGTTTGATGACATCAGAAGAGCTTAGGCACTTGGAGGATTTGCCCTCCCCTCATAATAAGTTCTGGGTGCCCTGCATGTGGTTTGTCAGCCTGGCTCTGAGAGCACGGACTGAGGGTCGCATCAACAACGACGTGGCGCTCACTGCTCTCCTCACTGTAGGTGCCCGTGTGCAAACCAAAGCCTCACAGCCTGCAAATATTTTCTGGTTTTGCATGACTTTTACTGTTTTCTGTTTAGGAGTTGAATAGCTTACGGGCGAAGTGTATGAAGCTGTACGGCTATGACTGGATCAGCCTGCCTCTTGTCTATACTCAGGTTTTTGTTTATATTGCAATCAGCACTGAAACCAAAAAGTAGCCGATAGCAGTAATATTAGGTACTAAAAATATAATGGTTTTCTTGCAATAATCATCATATGCCTTAAATCGTTAACCCTCCCTAATCCAGATGCATTTGATCGGCAATAAAAGCCATACCTCAAGATAAACTGTTTCTCTAGGATGGTGTAAAACAACCCAAATAAAGGCATTAATCAGTTAATGCTCTGACTTTTTTTTTTTTTAATTAGGTGGCAACAGTTGCAGTCTACAGCTTCTTCCTAGCGTGTCTGATCGGTCGTCAGTTCTTGGATCCAAATCAGGGATACCCTGGTCATGAAATGGATTTCTACCTCCCTATTTTTACCCTGCTGCAGTTTTTCTTCTATGTTGGATGGCTGAAGGTGAGGGACAACTGATTGATCGTGTCTGTGGTTCTTAAAGTTGAGGCCTGCAGCCACAAAAAGAAAGGAATTCACTACTGGACAGTTCATCCCATTGAGCACTAAAGATGTGCAGAACAAGACTTGGAAAACATTTTTCTTTAATTGAACAGATGAAACATCCCCAACTTTGACAAAAACAGCTGGTCAACAAATGAAATAACCACTTGTGTTGAAAAAATAAATATGAACAAGAACTAAAAAGGAGCATTACTAACATCTGAACTCTGGATTATGCTGATTGCTGACTTTGACTTGTTAATTTGTCCACTGAGTTTCATTGAGGTAGTGTGTTTGTTTTGGTCTCAGGTGGCTGAACAACTCATAAATCCATTTGGTGAAGATGATGATGACTTTGAAACCAACTGGCTTGTGGACCGCAATTTGCAGGTGTGAATCTAAACCAAACTATTTGCTAACTGATCCTAGACAGCGAGTGTATTGTTTGAGTATATGTGGTTTTCACTGTGTCCCAGGTCTCATTGTTATCTGTGGATGAGATGTACGATAGCCTGCCTCTGGTTGAGAGGGATATGTACTGGAATGAGTCTGAACCTCAGCCACCCTACACTACTGCCAGCGCTGAACACCGCAAACCCTCCTTCATGGGCTCAGCACTGGATATCAGGTTTAATGATTTTTTTTCTGTCTTTCTTTTTCGTTCTTCTTAATAAACCTGCTGAACATATGGCAAACCTTCTGTTTGGTCTTCAGTGTTCCAAAGGAGGAGATGGAGTTCCAGTCCAATCTGGAGCAGATCAAAGAAAATGAGGAAGCCAACTACTCCACTCCTCTGCTTGGAGGACTTGGTCGTCTTCTCGGTGTCCACTCCCCAAACTTCCCTCGCTCCTCCCGGGTGTCACTTCTCCGCCGTCGCCCTGGAGCTCCACTAAGCCGCTTTCCCCTTTACTTGCACACAGGGGCACCTTTGACTCAAGGTCAAGCCTGCCAGGAGGGAGATCCTGACTACGCCTTTTCCACCACACCCTTGTACGAAAGACCAGGTTTCTATAGCTGCCCACAAACCCCAATTCACTGCATTCCTCCTGCGGTGCCCCGTCCTCGACCTGCTAGGAGAACCCAAAATGACTTGGATCACAGCTGCAGTTCTCTAGCCCCTCCAACTGTGGGCTCCCAGATGCTGCCTCCCGACACCCCTAACCACATCCCCCCTCCACCATCCTCTGCTTTCCCCTGGCTGAGTGAGGATGGGGATATGCAGAGTGCACCTACCTTCTCCTTCCCCGACCCTCCACCTGAACTCTGCCCGATATCTAAACTCAGACTGGGACATGGCCTGCTATCTCGCCGCCCTCCCCCTCCTCGCCTCACCCTGGACACCCTACCATCTGCTGACATTCAGCCTGGACCAGCAAGTGCCCGGGCTGCGGGAGGCGGAGGAGAAAGAGTGTTCTCGTTCACTCAGCCCTCTCGCACAACGACAGCAAATCCCGGTAATCCCAACAGCAGCTCTAGCAGCATTAATGTAACAAGCACCAACAGCGCAGGCACAACGGGAAGTCTTTGCAACGGCACAGGTCACGGTAATTTTAGTAACCATGGGAACTTCAGCGGCAACATGAGGGCAAGCAACGGGGGCACCAACGGTGGGTTGAGCAATAACATGAACACAGTTTCCACTTCAGCGCCATCGCAGCAAGAAACCAATCAGAAAAACTCGCCCAACGATTCAGGAATCTCACTCGCCGAAGGAGACCTGCTGGGCGTTCTGGTGGATGGTGGGGTGAACAAGGCAGCAGGAGGGAGGGAGCAGGACTAAGAAAAGAAGGTGTGACTCACTGTTTTTTTTTTAAGCACATGTGCCAAATATCTCACAAAAACAGGCACAGGACTGTATCAGCTGGAGCCACTAAAAATTATTTACTTTCCAATGAACTCTCACAGAAGAATTAACCTACTTGTAATATTTTTTAAAAAAGGACCTTATGAGATTTGACCCTCAGTGCGTTATGGAAAAATACTTTCCAGTTTCATCAGTGGCAGCCAAAATGTGTATATTCTTCATCTGTGGTAGTCTTTGCATCAGTGTCTTTATTAATAAATATTATATATTCTTCTTTTTTTGACACTATTAAAGTTTTTTTTCCAAATAAAATGAAAAACTTTAATTTATTTGTACATTACAACTTTATTGTTTTATTTTACAAGCATACTGAATCTACAATTTGACTTTACATCTGCAGAACGAAGCAATCAGTCCAAATAAAATACAATGAGAAAACATTTTCACAGGTCTCACTGCTTATGCATGTTAATGTTTATTTAACTGTCAAAAATCAAACAAGCTGAAAGATTTTATGAGACATTAAAAAAATGACAAAAATGCACAAAGTTATTCATAATTATGGATGTCTGCTCCACATGGACCTGGCATGTTAAAAATGGTGTATATTTGAGAGAGAGTTCACAGCTAAGAATACAATTCCCTATCAGTGTTCTGTTTCAAGTATGCTTCCTTCAGGATTTGATAGATGGGCAAACGGCTTTTTCCACCATTAAAGTGCATTTAGCTGCAATTTCAGCCTTGTGAGCTATCTCATCGCACTGATCTACATCATGCTCTTGAGGTGGCTCGTCTGTATAAGTCAGACGTAGTGGCAGTGGAGTTTCATTGATTGGACAAAGCCGAAGGCGTCTCACAGTGAGATACAGAGCTCAGTTTTCAGAGAACTAGAGTTGTGCTAGTAACCAAAGGTTTCTTAAAATAAAGACAAATGGAAAACAACAGACACACACACACACACACACACACACACACACACACACACACACACAAGCTATAAAATAATAAATATAATTCAATTAACCAGTGTTTTAGTATTGTTACATATTGTAACAAGAATATATTGGCGTGAACTATAAACATGGTTCTTGGCTTTTATGTGTGGATGGTGGTTAAACTAAGAGAAATATTCTGTGAAAAAAAGAAAAAGAATAAAATAACTGAATAGGCCAGAAAAACCTTATTGCGAATAATACCTTGGTAGCTTTATCAATACACAGAAGCCTGGGGCTTCAGCTGGACAAAAGACCTCAGCCTGAGTGTGTCATTTTTGGGAGGTGTAGCTTAATGCCAACATGGTGCCACACTACCTGAAGAGGAGCTTGAAAAGCCAAAAAATGCACCAAGATGGTTGGACTTAAGTGCTAAATAAGAGGTAATGAAGTGATGACACACATGGTAGGTCCAACTCTGTCCAAAGTGCCTTTACCTTACTTTACAGTCACAAAATTTTAAACACCACTGGTATAACAGATAATAAACCAGAATTTCTCTTTGCTTTTTAAATTCTCAAACAAAAAAGGTTGATTAACAATTTTTCAATGCATGTAATTTAAATTATTACAGCCTAAAACGTTTCAGTGTCACGGTCCAATCTTCCTAAACCTGAATGCATAACTAGCATGATTTAAAGGCCTGCTTAGTCTTTATTTTTACACACTGCACGTAGTGTGAGGTGAGGGTTACACAACTCCAGTCTGCGCTACAGCCTCTGCTAACAGCCAATGAACACAAATAAAGCAGCATTCTTTTATAACATATGCAGTATGTACTGTATTTGTCAGGCATGCAGCAGAATTACCCGTGATCACCAGTGCCTCAATTTAACTGCCCTCTTCAGCCATGGTGTGTTTGTCAAAGAGATATTCAGCCATGCCGCTCTGAGGGGCTCCCATCCGGCGTAGGTTTGAGGTCCAGTCGGCGAGTTGTTTGATGGATTTTACCTGCTCATCCAGAAAATGTGTTTCTATGAAGTCGCACATCTGTGGAGGACGGAAAAAGACAATATGCTGCATCTTACTAGATAGTCATATCCAAACAGCGGAGACTGTACATCCTCCACGCCTGCTTCTTACATGAGGGTCGTTGTGTTCAGTGGCCATTTTCTGCAGGTCCAGCAGGGATTGGTTTACATTTTTCTCCAGCTGCAGGGCACACTCCAAGGCCTCCACGCCACTCCCCCACTCATCTCTATCAGGTTTCTAACGCATTAATATTTCAAGAAGATTCAGCACCAATCAGATTCATGTAAAATTATTCATATTAAAGCAACCTGAAGCACTGCAGTCCATCCATTTTTATAATTAAAAAAAATGTAAAGCCTCGATGAATAAAAAGACTGTTTTGTTTTTTGTTTTTTAATATAAAAAGACATGAATTTATTTTTTTGTTTTTTTAACTCATTAGTGAAAATATCCTTACATACCCTGATGTCTTGCAGAAATATTTTGCCTCCCCGCTTGTTCTGGAAGGTCATCAGCTTCTCTGCATGCACAACCTCTTCTTTGGACTGATTGTGAAAAAACTTTGCAAAATTTGGCAAGCATTTATCATCCCTTTCAAAATAGTATGCCTAAAAGTCAGGAGAGTAAACAAAAATAAACAAACAAAAAGATTAAAACACTCTTTTTAATGCCTTTGAAATAACACAGGGCTGTGATACATGACACCACTGACTCAGAAACATTTCTTACCATAGAGAGATAAACATAAGAGGCATACAGCTCCAGGTTTATCTGTCTATTAATGGCAGCCTCGCAGTCATGGTGGAAGTTTTGACGGATCTGAGAAGTCATTTCTGGAAAGATCATAACAATAACTAAATGCTGATCAAATGTAAGGCTGTTCATAACTGGAGAAGCAGATTATTCAGGCAGTTAATTGCAGTATGTTGCATTTTAAAACAGTATCTAGCCACCATTACTGAGACACTGTACTGAGTTTGCCTACATCAAACTAAACACATCTACATTTAAAACATCTGAAAAATGTCCCTACATATAAACAATCGAGTGGACACTACAGTCATCTGTATTCACATTAATCCAGACAAATGACCTTGGGACTAAAAAAGGCAAACACCATATTTAGAGCAGCTGTTGGTCAAAGTTAATAGTAAAGTAGCAGACAACTTCTGTCTTAAATTTGCACCTAGTTAATACAGAATCCGTGTTTCGTGACACTGAACTTGTGATAAGACGAGACACAAACATTGTTTACCTGCTCACGCAAAGAAACCACAGCGTTCAAGCCTGCAGCTACTGCCAAATAACGGGCTACCAACCGCGTTGTTTTATTTGTTGTTCCTGTTGGCCGTGGTGTACCTCTGCATTACGGTAAGTGCTGCTTTTAACATAAAAGCTGCCTCTCGGTGTCTCCCGCACAATAACAGTCTGGTGTTGAATTGAAATATTAAAACGTTTAATCGATCTCGTTACACGCACGTCACTAAGTTTGAAGGGAGTATATTTCAATTCCCCAGAAGCGCTTTTATCGTTAAGTTATTTCTTACACTACCGTAATGCTTAGTATAAATACATCAAAAACAACGCTGGTTGCTTGCGTGACCCAAGCGGAGGCTGGCTTAACAGCTATGAGAAACGTTAGGTTATGGCAGTGGTATGAATAAGATCAACTTGGTGGCTAAATTATATCAAAATTTAAGCTTCGTGCACCTTGCAGGCATCGAAGCCCACGCTAACTGAACAACAGTTGCGTTGCCAAATATATTCAGCGCAGCTAATCGCTGCTAGCAACCAAATCTCAGTCAGCTCATCTCACAAACAACAGGACAGGTTGAACATTTAAACCCAGCTGCGGAGGAAGCGGTTATATAAACCAACCTTCTTCGACGATTTCACACGTTTCTCTAAACTTATCGCTGATAGTTGCGCTTGCTTGCGACGTTAAATTTCCTACTAAGGACTTAACTCGCCGTTTTACCGACGCGCAAACGCACTTACGTGACTGCAACGCTGTTGACGTTAGCCGTTAAAGGTGCGGAATGGACACGTTAAAATTAAAAGCTTTTGTGGCTATGTGGACAGCACACAAACCAGTGTGCCAGCGGCTGCATTAGTCTGAAATAATGTTTAATCAAAACACAAAAAAAACAATACACAAAAATTAAAGACTGACACATTCCCCAAAAAATAAACACTGAAGATTTAAACTATGAAAATATTCATAACAAAAACAAGTAGATCTTGTAGATCTTGGCACCTGTCTTGTCTTTCATGCATTGCGTATTCCGTAGACCAAAGGTAAAACACACTACAATGGAAACTGGTACATTTAATGCCGCCTTTTAATTTCGATTTCTTTTATTATGCTGTCTGACAGTAGAGATGTCAGTCTAATTTGACAGAATCTCCCCGCTCTCTCAGGATAAAAACATTTACAGTTCATTCTTGTTATGTTAATATAAGAAAAAGAAATGCAATTGCAACAGGTCGTCTGTTTTTTCTACGAGATAAAGAAAATTGCTGCTGTAGTAAATGAATGAAATCTGTCAGCATGACTCTTTAGGCTTAAATTCTAAGAAATAAACATTTAAAAGCATTCAAGCTTATAGCTACTGTTCTTTATCAGGAGCTATAAAGACAAAAAGTCCAAAATGCAGGCATTCCTTTACATTTACCAAAGCTGTCCAGTGGGTCCAATACTGGGCTCAAGACCTCATGTTTGACACCCATTTTAGGGATCCGTAAACCCGAATTAAGAGCATCTGAACTTTATAATAATAAATACAGAGAATTCTCAGTTGTAGCCTGAAACTAAACCAAATTAAAAACCCAGATTTTAACCCAATTACAAAGTCTATAACTGAGAGGCTGCATGTGTGATCTAGATCAATGTAACTTAAGTCAAGCTAAACCTTACTTTAGTGAAATAGACGCACCAAATTTAAAAATTTACCCCAGCTGTGGTGCCAAAACCATTCAGTAGCTGTTCTGGAACACACAGACTTCTTAGCAGAGGATTTCCCTGAGCTTTAAAACTTTCAACACCGTGCTGCATTTTGAACTAAAAGTCATGACTGTGAGCTGCTGAGTGACAAAATCCTTTTACAGCACATACCTTTGATAGAGCAGGTTTGACATACCAGAGTGAACAAATCAACCATCTTTTAATTTACTTTTAATTTTTTAAATTGACAAGCCAAAACAAATTACATCTCTAAAAGCTAAACAGAAACCACAGATATAAAAACCTACTTAGACATAAAGATGTGAAACAGAAACATACATTTAAAAAGAACATTCAGAAAAACAAAACAAGTGACTTTATTTGAAACTGATTTTCAGAATTTTAACTTTATACAGCAGTTTAAACATCTGTATGAGTGTACAGATGTTACTTTCCAGCTGGGGGAGAGTGCCACACCGCAGAGCTGGTTCGTTTAAAATATCTGGGCTTGCTCTTGTAAAAGATGTTTTCCAGTCGTGGTGACTCAATTGCGCCAAAGAAAGAGTCCAAATCAGGAGGGTTGAAGTATTGCTTCATTATTATCTGCTGCAGATTGGGACCTGGAAGAGAGAGAGAGAGAGAACACAAACAGGTCTGTTTAGGGGCTTTAAATAGCATGCAATATCCACAAACACACATGTGGGTTTAGCCCAGTTTGGTAGGGGTGTAAAATTGTGACGTAGAGACCAGAACTGTGATACTAATGTCTGAAATATCTCATCATGGTTCAAGTTTCCTGTAGTGTCATACCTAGGATTCTTCATCCCAAGTTAAAGTGCGCTAATATCAAGGAAGCCATTACATTTCAAGTTCAGTCAGGAAATGAAATTATATTTGTGATCAAGTAATCATTTGTCCAACAGATCTCAGCAGATTTCTGCCTCTCCCCTATTGAAGAGACTTCTTCCTCTCCACTGGTGCCAAGTGTTTGCTCAACAAATGTGTTTTTTTTTGTGGTTAGTATTTATTCGTTTGTGCTCTGCCCAACTGGGAATGAAATGCTTGGACCAGCTGGCTGTTCTGGGTGCAGAACACATGAAAACTTGGAAGTTACAGAGTGCCCTCTGGTGGCCAAACTATACAATCTTAACCACTGTAAATGTTCACATTGCACATGTGCAGATATGGCCAAAATCTCATATCCCAATAACAATATACATCACAAAATGGTGCCTTTCTAAATTCTGTGAATCTCGGGCAGCTAAACTTGTCTCAGATTTTCAAAGCAGGGTCTTAAAAAAAACATTATGGTGCTGGGCCATTTCATTTCACCAGCAATTCCCTAAATTTAGGTTTCCAACACGACTGAATTCAGACGAGTAACACAAGGTGAAACTTGACTGAGCTTAGTATGAATCCACCGTAAAAATTTGAGACAATCAATTATAACTGAGCTGGATTAACGAGTAACACATAAGCACTTCAGGTATACTGAAGAGTTAAGAGATCATTAAATACCTTCTGCCCAGGATGGAATAGGCTTCCTTGGTGCAGACTCGTCATCAGTAGAGTCATCACTGTTTTGGTCCATCCCATAGTCTTCTGGATTTTTGGACAAAATCAAAGGTTTATCTCCACCCTTTGGCGTGATGGCATATGACTGTGGTGAGGAGTGCTGCAGAAAGAGAATGAGGGGAAAAAAAAAAAAAAAAAAAAAAAGATCATTTAGTCTTTGTTTAGAATAAATATACGTTTGTTAAAAATAAATAAAAACACATACCTCAATATCAACCGTCACGTTGAGCTCACCACCTTTTCCTACAGGTGTGCTCATTACTGAGCGCTGAAAAGTTTAAGAAAATTGGGAAATTACACATTAATTTACACCCTTTGAAACATTTATTATAAATTTTTGCTACTGAGAAACTGAATTAAATGCTAATCTATTACCTTTGTCATGGAAACAAACACACACACACACTTCATGTAATCATTTTCACATGCTTAAGGCTTCAGATGACGAGACATGGTATAATGTACATAATCTAATGTAAAAAGTATAATATCTATTGTTATTACCTCAATATCCACAGTCACATTTAGGTTAGCAGCAGTCTGCATTGCATGGGGAGTGGGAGAAAGAAATTTAATAAGGTTTAGGAAAAACAAAAAACACAACAAAAACCTTAAAAGCGGTTTCATTTGAAATCTTTTTGTTGACTATATGATCTCAAATAACAGAACGCATAGAAACACAGGAAATGTTTCTGTAGTTTGGGTTTGCTCCCCAGTTTGTACCAATGTTAAGCTGTCTCGATGAACTGAAGGTTTTGCTGTACCTGTGTTTTAGCAGCCTCTTGAGCAGCAGCGTCCCTCTGCTTAGCAGCTTCCAGCTCTTTAGCAGCTTTCTCTTTTGCTGCCAGCCTTTGCTGCTCCTCCTAGTGGAAGAAAAACCAGCCAGCTGAGCAGCTGCTGTCACAAACAGCTGCTAACAGACGTCCTCATACATCAAGTTAATGAGATTATCACGTGTTGAGTTTTTAATGAGAAGATAAGAGAAAACTTTCCAAGTCATTTTCTGAAAGAGTCCTGCTAATTAACATCTGCTGAAGTGGATCCCCATAAAACACCGTGAACAAGCTCTAGCATAGACAGTGGAGAACCTGCTGCAGTCTTTACATGCCTCACTGACCATGACATCAAATGCAAGAAAGCCACAGACTTGCATGTTTCTGCCACACTGATTGTGTGTGCACTTTCACTGTTCAGTACTTTAGGACTAAACATTGAAGCAAATCTGATTTCCTTTGCTCTGCTAAATTGAAAGTACCTGAATAATTTTCTCTGCCACACACAAAAATGAGTTGAAATACTGAAGCCACTGACAAGTGAACTGTGATGCTGCATCATATTGCTTTTCTGGGAAAGCACCCAGAAATACCACATATTGGTACATACACCACAGAGAAAACAAACACCACCACACAGGTTCACATTAGGACCAATACCTTATAGTTTGGGCCAATTAAAATGGTGCTTGTAATATGCATTATCAGGGATCGTAACATCTAGTCCTTTTATTTAATAATGCTGCTAATAATAACAACAACAACAACAACAACACACACTCATCTTTAATTTAGGGTATTCACACCCATGTTTCCTAATCATCTGAATCAAGTTCTATTTTTTGTTTTTAAATATCAAGCCCAAACATGGGGGATTCCACTCAACACACTCCTAATAAGAGAAATAAAAAGTAACTATTGCGAGTGCTCCAACATCAAGTTTTGTTTGACAATTCCATTTCTTACCAGTTTTCTTTTTTCCTCGAGTGCCTTCCTTTTTTCCTCGAGTTCCCTCATCTCTTTCTCTCTCGCTGCTCTCTCCACTTCACGCTGCAGAGCGAAAGCTTTTTCTTTCTCCACTCGCTCTCTGCAAACACAAACATCACATCAATTTTAAAAAACAAAATCCAAAAAACCTGGAGTGAAATAGCATCAGTTTCTTAAAGGCTTTAATTACCTAATTAACAAACAAAAAAGATTGTTAATTACCTGAATTAACACACTTTAGGTATGTTAGGTATGGTGTTTTGTATATACACTAGTGCTACACTACTCCACATCACTGATCACAGTTTCCTGTTAACTGTTTCCATCTATGAGGGACAGAGTAATAAAGGACAATTTATGGATGTTTGGAAAGTGAGAAATCTATTAATCATTTGAAATTCACATTGTTTAAGTCCTTCTTCGCAGAGCAAAAAGTTTCCAGTGCAGCAGGATGATATCAGAGCCACCACAGCTCTTAGCACTAAAGTTAACAATAGCCTTTTAAGCTAAACATCTGGAGTTATATTTGTAACGGTGACTGTTAATGTTAACAACTGTGGATATATTTTATCTGATAAGCCCAAGTAACAGGTGTCCTTAAATTGGCAGTGGGGTCATTTATAATATGGAGCAGACTGGTTGTATAGCCAAACGAGAGAAAAGACCCCGGTCCTTTCTCTTTTTTTACATTTTCAGTTTAACTACAGTTTAAGAGGAAAAAAACGTTACAGTTAGTGGATTCTTAGAAAAGCCAATCAAAACCTAACAGTACTAATATATGCTCTTGTTTAATCAGGACCACATTATTCTTCTGTATTCCTGTATACTGTGAGAAGTATTGGAATCATCATCATATGACCTTTCCGCAGCAGCTTGCCGTTCCCTCTCCAGCTCCCTTTCCCTCTCGCGTTCCTGCTCCCTCTTCAGCTCGAGTGCTTTACGAGCCTCTTCCTCAGCCTTCTTCTTGGCCAGCAACTCTTGCTGTCGCTTTTCTTCCTCCTGATTTAAAAAACAAACAAACATGCATGCAGTATAAGAAAATATAGTGTCTTTAACCCTCTGCACAAGAGCTGTAGTGCCAATACTCCACAAAAAGCAAATAACCTGCTGAATCTTCTTCTTTCTGGCCTCCTCTTCCATTTTCCTCTTCTGTTCTAGCTCCTCTTGACGCTTCAGGGCCGCTTTCTTCTTGGCCTTCTCCTCCGCCACGCGCTGCATGAATGTGTAGAATGGGAAAGACCGAGCAAACGTGAGTTGGTTTCTTTTAAAGCTGAATATACAGATTCAGGCCCAACAGAGCTGTTGCATACCTTGTCATTTTTCTCATCAATCTGAGCCATTTTTTGCTCAATCTTTTTCTTCTTCTCTTCCTCCCTCTGCTCCTCTTTTACTTTGGCCTCAAAGACTCTTCTTAACCTCTCATCCCTCTTCCTAGAAGACAATGTTAGAAGTTAATTAAAAGAAATTTAAGTTGTGCCTTTGATTCTGAAATATGTGCATGGTTAACCTTTTAAGTTCCTCCTGTTTCCTCTTCTTATCCTCTTCCATTTTCCTCATCCTTTCCTCCTCTTGCTCCTGCTTCTTTTTAAGTGCTTCAAGTTTGTTGCGCTCTTTTGTCTGAGAATATAGAACAAAGAGGTTACAAATTAAGTAGATTTTCAAATAAAAACCTCATCCTGTCACAAAGAAATATGATCAAGATGCTGTAAGGTGAAAAGGTGGCAAACAATGATAAAATTTAAAAAAAAAAAAATAAAAAAAAAAAATTAAGGGGCAGGGGAAGCCCCCCACAAAAATAAAGCAAAAATCCATCCAAAATGCCAGTTTCATGGTCTCTAAAAGGTTCCGTTAAATCAAATGTGCAGTGTTGTGGACCTGCCTGGGTAAATGGAAATTGCCTATGATCCAAGTTCAACACAAAAAGTAGTAAAGCCATGAGGAAAAACCACCAAGTGCACAAACACAGCACTGTACAAATCCCAAAAGTAGCTGAATAAGATTACAGGTTATTGTTAGACTCAATCGAGCTCCCATAAAGAGAACTTCACCCCCAGTGCGATATACTTCCCCAGTTTTAGCTTAATCCACAAACAGGTCAATGACATTCAAAAGAAAATAAATAAAAAGCTTAGGTTGAGATGGATTTCTACTTTATGATGAAATAATGTCTCAAAGTCAACACTGAGATTACCAAAGCTATTTAAAGTGATTTGATTTCTGTTAGCTTACAACATGACAAACAAAGACCATTAGTGACCCGTGAGATCAGGCTGATGAAATGTTTACAGAGCAGCCCCTTCCACACACGGCCGCTGTGAAACAAATGCATTTGATAAGCTTCAGGTTGTTTACATGCAGGTCGATCTCATGCCCATAAAAAGTGCAGCACAGAGTCCACCTTTACATTTAGTACTTGACTTTTTATTTAAAAACACCCAAATGTCATGCCAGTGGGAAAGAGGCTTGGATGGGGAAAGTGCTAAATGAGTACAAGTTTAATCAAGTCACACAATGGAAATATTAAACACCAGCAATGCCCAAAAACAAAGTGCTTCGATGTTTGACATTACACTTACCACTATGCTAGTGTTGAACTGAGGAGAGGAGAAAGCACATCCAAATAAGGACCACATAATTCATACCAGACCAAATATGACCCACAACATTTATGAAGTGTGTTTTTGTTTGTATTTGTCCCCCACATTTTAAGCTCCCATGAGTTTCTCAAATACATACAAGATTTAGGTTTATGGGATGCTCACTGATGAAAGGACCTTTTCACATTAGTCAGATTAAAAGTGACTGAATGCAACTTTAAATTCACTGCAACACTGACTATACCGAGCATGTGGAGAGAAGCTGGTACGTATTAAATAATGCTACCTTGCCGCGTGTGAAGCTTACCTTAGGATCAATCCTTAGAGGAGTGTTGTGTTTGATGAAGGACTTGATCACTGCGGTCCGGCCGACTGAATTCGGTGTCATCATCAGCATCTGATTCTTTTGGACGGTGTGCAGAAAAGACTTCATGTGGGGTTTGATTGCCTGTTCATCCAGAGCAAACAGGAAGTGTCAAACCTTAAGAAATCCACTGAAATATGAAAATGTCCATCAACCATATTAACAGCTTCTTACACTTTGACTTTTCTTGGGAGGAGAGCACCTCTTTGTCGGACTTTCATCTATAGTATCAGGTGCTTTACGCTTAGTGCTGCGACTTGACCTTAAAATTAAAAAATTAATTAATAAAAACCAAAAAAACCCACACAACACAGGCAGAAAAAAATAAAACACAATTCAATAAACACAATTAATTTTTCCTGTAAATGTGCTCTTTATCACAGCAGTCATATAGCACCCACCTCCGAACTGGCAGCGAATTCAGCTTCTCAGTGACAACTGAAAGAAAACAATGTTTTCAGTGCAAATAAGTCTCAAATGAAATGACATTTAGACTAAAAAAAAAAAAATATTGTATTTGTTAATAGTTTCCATACTTGCTCTGTTATGAGTCATCTCACTGATAAACAACGATGGGGGCGCCAGTTTGGGTGAGTTTGCAGCCACGGAACGAGTGATGCGCATGAGAGACTGTTGTATACCCTGGTTATCAAATGTTGATCATTAACACAACTCTACTTCAAAGTTACTGCTTTGATTATTAAAAGGCTCTTTGTACATACCTCTGGAGTTCGCTGAGATTTCTGAGGTCCAGCATTATCCACAGATACAGCGTCTGACAGCCTATAGGAGCGAACAAACAAACATCGCACTTTATTAGCACTGTTCGTGCAAGTTGGAGTGAAGCAGACCGTGAAGTGTTTTTAAATAAAGGATTTTAAAGCCAAAATTGAAGCTGACATTCATCCAGACCAGGGACTTTAATATGGGTTAAATGTGTTTTTTTTATTCTGGATCTAATAAGACATCAAGCAGCTGAGTTTTCATGTAGACCAGACAGAGACTTAAGAGTAGTCAAGTCTGCTAGATGTAAAAGTGTGCATCGGTTTCTTAGAGTGCCTCAGAGACAGAAAAGGTCACACTTTTTATTATTTATATTTTTAAAGTAATACAGTTAGATCATGAGTATTTGGAAAATGGCACTTCTTATTTGTTTTTAAAAATCCACTGTGGTTGTGTACAGAGCCAGAACAACAAGATGTGATTGAAGTGCAGACTTTCAGCTTGAATGCAGGGGGTTTAACAAAGATTTTACTTTAACTGCTCGGGAATTACAGCTTTTTAGTTTTTACTTTTAGTTTTGCAGCATTAGGCTGAGTCTGAGCACAGCCCTGTACACATCACAGTTCATCCTGCTACTTCATCAATAAACACATCAACAAATGACCTGGTTCCCCTGGCAGACATTAGGCCCATGAGATAACACTACCTCCACCATGTCTGACAGATAATGTGGTATGCTTCAGTTTGGTTTCTCTCTTTCTCCATACTTTCTACTTCTCATCATTCTGGTACAAGTTTATCTTGTTTTCACTTGTACAAAGAATTTCTTTCCAGACCTGAGCCAGCTCATTTAGATGATTTCTGGCAAAGTCTAATGTGGACTTCCTGTTCTTGAGCATAATTTGTAGTTTGCATCTTACCTACTTTGTGTATTTACATTCATGAAGGCATCTGTTGATCACAGAACTTGACAATGAGATGTCTACCACCCTTAGCTGCATGAGCCCTAAAGTTAAATCCAACATCACTCCTAGGTTTCGTGCTTATTGGCTTTGGGTAAAGAATTCGTTTAGGGATCAGTAGATTCAAGGAGACCATTCAGAACTTTTTTTATTAAAGCTCCGTTACAAAACCATATCACTACGATTCCCATATCCTTTTTTTTAAAAATAACACTCACACTTCTTGGTTTTCCTTCTCCATTTCCTCCTCATCCTCCTCCACGCAAGAGTCATCTACAATAATAAAAAGTCAAACATTTCAAACAACCCTTTAATAATTGGGAAATTAAGTAATTATAAGCAAACTAGTCCTTTTCTTACCACTAACTTTGGTGCTACATGTTGAGTTACCCGCACGAGTAGCTTTCCTCTTAAGCATGGAGCGGCGCGAGGCACGGCGGACAGATTCCTGAGTCATACTGTGCCGCAGGCCAGCCAGAGAGTGACGTAGCTTCAGGGAGCACTGCACAGAGCTGCGCCTTGAGATTTGAGCAGATTCAGCTATTGCAATCTTAGCAGCTGTACGGCCAGGAGAGGGCTCGGGCTCTTTTGCGAGCTCAGCAGACAAGCGGTCTACATGAGAGATGCTGACAACGGCTTCAGGTAAGGGAATCTTAAGAGACTCAGGAGGTGTGGCGTTGCCAACTGTGTCATCTGGTTTGACTTTAGCATCATTCACCTCCTTATTTTCAACCACCACTACCTCCTTCTCCTGCAGCATCTGCGTTTTGTTTTGCACTTCTTCAGCTTTATCGCTGTCATGAGGTGACGGGCTCTCATCATCTACCACCTCAGGCTTTGTCTGTTTGTTTCTGCGAGTGGTGCGTTTGGACTGTCCAGTGCTGCTGGTGTCAGAAGTGGAGACCTCAGAAATGGGATCCTCTTTAGCAGTGAATTGCAGTGATTTAACAGAAGAGCCACGAAGGTTACTGCGCCTTCCCTTTGAGTATCTAAGCAGGAAAGGATAACGTAAGAGTTACAAAAAAGGTACAGCACGCTTCAGACTGCCTTCACTAAAAACAGGAACTGATAAAACAAACCTTTTCTTTCCCTGATTTTCTTCTTGGGGACCCAAAGACACACGCTTCCTGCGACTGTTTTTCTTCTGTGATGCCGTTTTTGGCATCAACTCTGGTTCAGCATTAAAATCTCTGAAACGAAGAAAAGAAAGCACTCCATTAGAAAAAAAATTAAACACATCTATAGAGTAGAGCTACATAGAAGAACATATTTATAGCCTACCTTGAGAACATGCGATTGGCTTCTTGTTGTATCTCCTCAAGCCAAACCATGTGGACATTATCGATTTCATTGATGATGTCTTGTGCTTTGCCACCAAACATCTGCGTGAGGGATCGCACTGATAGTACAGAGTTCATGGTGACAACCTGAGGCACAAAAAGCCGACAGAGTTCTGAGATTACAAGAATAGTTAAGACCCAATTTACAGGGGTATATAAAGACTTTCTCATTTTTATCTTTTTTAGTGCCAAAATCAGCAGGGCTCTCCTAAAAATAGGTCTTTTCTTTAAGTGAGGTTACATTTTTCCCCCATATCAATTTAATGTACTGAAGCTTCAGTACATTATTATCAAAGAGAGGAAAATGCAATTTTTCCAAATCATGCTTATGTACAGTCACCTCCCATACACCAGTTTTGAACTGGCGGAAAATTGAAAACCTTTTCGCTTTGATCTTGCTTTCTTTTTCTCTTGCAGTGGAGCTCCTTCTCCCCTCTCCAAGATTATGGATCAGCTGTTAAGAGTCACCTTAGTTTCAAGCAGCCCCACACGGAGCAACAGCTACAGTTTAGCTGAGAAAATAATTACTAATCTTAAAATTTGACCCATACCTTTTAAAGCATTAAATCACCTTATTCAAGGACTTATGAAGCCCTAATGTAGCTGGGAATCTACTTAGTTTGTTGAATGCGGCACCATCAGCGTTTGAAATGTCCTTTTCAAAATAGCTTATTGAAAATGTTTCATATGCAGCAATGGGTTTTTTTTTTTTTTTAAATCCTTCTCATTGTCTCAATATTTTTTTTGCATTTGCATTTCTTTTCTTTGTTCTTGTTTGTAGTGTTTTTGTTTAGTTTTTTTTTTAAATCAGTTTTAGGACGACATATTTAATTCCTTTCTATGACACACCAATAAATAAAATGCACCAATATTATAATAAATGTCAATTGGTGAAAAATGGCTGGTCTGAGTATTTCAATAAACTGCAGATCTACTGAGATCTCCCAACATGGAGAGAAGAACAGAATAGCCTGAAAAAGAGAAATTATCTAGTGAGTGGCAGGTCTCTAGGTGACAATGCCTTGTTGATGCCAGAGGTTAGAAGAGGCTAGCCAGACTGGTTCAAGGTGATGGGAAGGCAAAGATAACTCAAATAAACACTCATTACAATTACGACGTGGGAAAAAAAAAAAAAAAACATTTCTGAATGCCCAACTCATCCAGTGTTAAAGCAGATGCCGAACAACAGAAGACTACAGGGGGCCATTCCTGTCAGTTACAAAGAGGAAACAGAGGCGACACTTTCCACTGGATCACCACAAGTGGACAAAAGAAGACTGGAAAACCATTGCCTGATCAGATGAGTCAACAATTTCTGCTGCAACATTTGGATGATGCAGTCAGAATCTTGTGAAAACAACTTGGAAGCACAAATCCATTGATGGTTCAGGCTGGTGACGATATGGGGGATATTTTCTTGCCACACTTCACCCCGTTGCCAGTTGCTTACAATTTCCATGCTTTTAAGGTCACAGTGTACTCCTCTTCTGACAGTGGTCACAAAGCTAAATTCATCTTAAACTTGTTTCTTGCACATGACAGTGAGTTCACTGCACTCAAATGGCCAAACAAGCAACAGATCTCACACCTGTAGAGCATCTTAGTGATGAAGAGGAAATTCACATCATGGATCTGTAGCACCTGTGTTATACTTTGAAGTCAGTGTGGACCAAGCTCTCTCAGTTTACAGCATCTTGTTGAATCTATGCTATAAAAAATTAAGGCAGCTCTGGGGGCAAACGTGGGTCCATCCCAGTACTAGCAAGGTGTACCTAACAAAGTGGCCACTGAATGTAAGTATTACACATGTAATATCCGAACCAAATGCGCTTAAAAGAAACCCCGGAGTTCCTTTAAAAGGATTAACGCACTAACCATTTTTTCATCTCAATAACCAATATCTATCTATCTATAGTTCCTGTTAAAAAACTGTTTTATAGAATAAAACGTTTTACAATAAGACTAACCTTTGGACAGCTGTTACGACCCGGCTCAAAGCTGCAACATAAAAAAAGGAGACGAATACTAGAGTATGGGTGAGAAGAGGTTCTATCTTAAAATGGAAAACCAGGTTGGCTAAAATGGCTGATGGCACCAAGGCAAAGACAAGTGAGCTCCCTGGACGCTTGCCTCAGGTATGTTTTTGCAGATGATACCACCGTGGTGGGGCTCATCTCAGGGGGAGATGAGACGGCGTACAGAGCTGAAGTTCAGAGGCTGTCAGATTGGTGTGTAGATAACAACCTGGACCTTAATA